TCTCCACAACCTTGCCAGCATTTGTTGCTTGCTGTTCTGTTAAATTTTGCTATTCTTACTGGGGTGAGATGATATCTCATAGTTGTTTTGATCTGCATCTCTCTTAGAGCTAGGGATTTTGAACATTTCTTCGTGTGCTTGTTAGCCATCTCAGTGTCTTCTTTGGTGAAATGTCTGTTCATTTCCCGTGCCCATTTTTCTATTGGATTATTTACCTTTACCTTGTTGTGGCGTACCTCTCATTAACTCTTAGACACGAAGTGTGAGCTGGTGTCATAGACTTTGGGCCCAACATTTGCTATTCTAGGGACAGCCTGTGCTTACCTTTTCGCTTGGCCTCAGAATAGTAATTAGATTAACTAACAATTTGCAATTAGTGACTCTTTTCTATCACTAAGCCTCATTATTTATAAATCCTTTTTTTAGACTGTTCCTAAATCACTTTATTCCGCAAAAGATTGATTATAGGTTATGAATACAACACATTTAACCAAACAATAGGAACAGAAAATCAGGATTAGGAAAAATAGAGTGGAAAATAAAAAGAATCTAATTACATGGGAGTTTCTTATAAAAGAAACTGAGAAATGCCATTAATAGTAATGATAATTGTCACTTGATGTTATCTTCAGGAGTAATCATTATTTCCTTATCTCTTGTCTAAAGTTGTCCTCTTTGAATTTTACTTTGAAATAAATTTCCATCAAGCAACTGCACCATCCATTGCCATCAAGTGAGCACCAACTCATAGCAAACCCCATTTAGTTTTTGTTTGTTTATTAATTTTATTTTATTTTATGTGTGTACCGTCAAATTGGATCTGACTGGTACAGGAGGCGATTGTTCCTCCTTCTTCAGCAGAGCATCCCCATTTGGTTTTTGAAGTAAATGAAACATAGCTGCCTGTCTTTCTCCCATGGAGCGGCTGGTGGAATGGAATCTCTGACCTTTTAACTGCAACTTGCTTTGTTACATACTGTGCTATCAGGGCTCCTTAAGAAGCAGCTGTTGTTGGGTACCACTGAGTTGGAACCGAACCATAATTGACCCTCCAAAGGGTTTTCCAAGGCAGTTAATCACACGGGAGAAGATTCTTCATCCTTCACCCACAGAGCAGCTGCTGGGTTAGAACTATGTGTGTTGGGGACTGCAGCACAACTTCTTACCACTAGGCCACCAGAGCTCCCTAACAAGCATCTAAGGTCTACTGTTTCTTCTTTCATGGATGCTTGAGCTTTAGGAGACATTTGGGATATAAATTAACCAGTTATCCAGGTACCAGGCTCTGTGTAAACAGTAGGGATGGAGGTAATTAGGTATCTTTCCCAGCTCCCCCAAGTGCTTTTCATTCCAAGGAGACAAGCATCTGAATATAATTCAGAGACTATGCTTTGAGTACAGCAGAGGGAAGGGCTTCATGGAGGAGGCCGGCCTGAGAGAGGACAGTGATTAGGGTGGAGAGAGTATGGTGTTGAAAGAGAGAGGGCATAACTACAAGCCTCAGAAGAGTAAGAAATTAGTGCAACAATGAATGAATGTAAACCCAAAATCTCTGTAAATGTTTATGAAAATTAATAAAATATAATTATAGAAAAAAAAATTCTCCTTTTAAATACCTCAAGGGAAGCACGTCTCTAGAGAAATAATCAATATTGAAGCATTTATTTTTGTTTTGTTTTGTTTTGTCTTATTACAACTGATTAGTAAAAGTTTATTTTCCCTTAAAAAAAAAAAGAAGAGTAAGAAATATGTCTCTCTTATAATTACCCCTCAGCTTGCAGCATAGGGCCTGCCAAGTGAATTCTGTTAGGTAAAGAGACAAGGTAATAGACAGAGCCTGGAGAGGTAGGTCTTGTCCAGGATCGGGAGTCCTCAGAAGCCACACTACCGACTTTATTCTTTAGATGATAAAGATCTATTAAGGACTTCTGAGCCCTGTATCTTGTAATAAGAATACTAGTCCTTTCTGTGTTCCCAGTACTGTCCTGTTTTATTTAAATTAACTCACTTAATAGTTGCTGTAGTAATTATAAATCTTATATTGGCAAATTCTTTGTGAATCACCTACTCAGTAAAATTTATTTGTATCCTCTAAATCAATATTTAGGGTGCTTTAGCAAAAAAGTGCAAGTACGGATGTTGTGTTGTTAGGTACTTCACGTCACAACTCATAGAAATCCTGTGAACACAGATCTGAACCTTGCTCTATCCTGCACCATCCTCACCATATCTAATATGCTCAGGCTCACTGATAAAGTCACAGTGTCAGTTCATCTTGTTGAGAGCCTTCTCTGTCTTTTACCCTTGACCTTTCCCAGGAGGATGTCTTATTCCAAAGACTAATCTCTCCTGACAACATGCCCAAAGTATGTGAGAGGAAATTTCAACATCCTTGCATGTAAGAGCAGTAAAAAATTCGAGAATATGGCCATGGTCTTTTTAGTTGCTTGCTATGCATCTGAGAGCTGGACATGACTAAAGATGACAGAAGAATAATCAATGCCATTGAGTTGTGATGCTGGAGAAGAGTACTGAACATACCACGGACTGCCAGGAGAACAAACAGATCTGTCCTGAAAAGGGTGAAACCAGTTTGCTTTGCAGAATCTCTGTGTCACATACTTTGGGTATGTTGCCAGGAGAGCCAAATTTTTAGAGAAGGACATCATGATTGGAAAGGTAGGGGGTTAAGCACAGGAGAGGAAGACCCAGTGAAATAGATTGACACAGTGACTGTGGCAAGGGTGATAGGTGTGTCAGAAATGATGAGGTTGGCTCTGAATAGGGCAAGCATCAGAGCCATTGTTCATAAGGTTGCTATGAGTCAAAGTCAACTCAAAGGCACATAACAACAACAACATATACGCATTCCTGGCCGAGTTCAAATAATAAAGGTAGATTTGATATTTGCTAGTTCAAGTTTTGAAAGACTTTATAGGATATAGTTATTGCAAATCAAAGGAATCACCTGTATCTGTCTTTCCTCCAAATGGTTGCCAATGAGAGCAGGAACTTTGTGGTCCACTACTGTGGTCACATACATGAAGCACTGAACTGGGACATTGTTATTGTTCTTAGATGCTTCAAGTTGAGTATGATTTATAGTGACTCTCTGAACAAAAGATCTGAACCCTGTCCTATCCAGTACCTCCTCATCATTTCTAACACTCTTGAGCCCATTGCTGCAGTCACTGTCAGCCCATCTCACTGAGGGTCTTCCCTCTTTTGCTGACCCTCCACCTTTCCAAGTGTGATGTCTGTCTCCAAGGAAAAACCTTTCCTAACAACATGCCCAAAATATGTGAGACGAAGCTTTGCCATCCTTGCTTCTAAGGAGCACTCAGGCTGCATTTTAGCCAAGATACATCTTTGTGTCTTTTGGCAGTCCATGGGATATTCAGTATTCTTCTACAACACCGTAACTCAAAGGCATCAGTTCTTTGAGCCGTCCAGCCGTCAGAGGCATAGCAAGTGACTGAAGTTTTTAATAAATGTTTGTTGAATGAGTGAACGAATGAATGGCTTCTTCACCTTTCAATATTGCCACAACCTAAGACTTTCCATAATATTTGTTGTATTTGCATTTCTTTTTGTGAAATGCCAGTTTTGTGCCAGAGAAACAAATAGGAAATCAGCCCATGAACTCACTATTCATCAGGGAGAGGAAACTCACACTTGTACATTATCTGTTGGGAGAAAAATAGGTGAAAGCAGCACTCTGTACTTTGCACTCCTGCATATACATGTTTGTCAACATCCAGAGACACCTATCCCTTTGAAAGTGAGGGAGTCAGAATTTGAGGGCAAGGATGTGCTAGAATTTTTAAAGAGGATTGAAGTGTCAATCATATCATTTGAAGATAATATAAAAATAAAAGCAAATTGCTTGCTGGTCTAGAAAGTTAGGTGCAGAATAGTGAGAGAAGGGACTTGTACCCTGAGGGGCTTCTCGGAGGAGGCACAGCTTGAAAGATGTAATTTAGGGCATCATGCACATTCTAGGTGAGACACCAGCATGAGAAGCCAGACAGGAGGGTTGAACCCTTCCTGTCCATTGGTCCCTGCTGCTCCCAGAGGTCTGGCTTTTGGAGCCAGGAGTTGGCACCAGCTCCAGCTGGCCCTGGGACCCTGGCAGAATTTCTGAAAATCAGACAGGCTTTGTAGCTGCAGACAGAAGCTAGCCAAGACACTTTGACTCTTTGCTGCTGCTTCTGTGTTTGGTCAGATGGCCCCTTCCAAAGAAAACCCCAGAATGGGGCTCTGCAAGCCTGTCCGTGAACCTGAGCAAGTCCCATCACCCTTACGAGACTCCATTTGTAAGGTTTTTGCAGGACTCAATGAACCATACGCAAACCTCCGTCAAGGTGTTCTGTCATCCCTTGTCGGTTCTAAGGACAGGCTGGTTTCGGAGAAGGGAGTTGGCCGTTGCCCTTTCTTGATGGGTTTCTGTGTACTGATAGTCCCCATACTTTTCCAGATCATGTGACCAGAGAGAAGTTCGACCGAATCCTGGCAATGATCCAAGGCTCCCATCAGAAGGCGCTGGTGATGTAAGTGGGGCCCTGTGGACTCCTTCCCACACCAACTGTCAGGGAGGTACAAGAGGACTAAGGGAAGTGACCACAGAGTTGGCCTAAGGCACTGTCCTCCCTACAACAGATTCTATAGGGCAACCCAGCCATTCCCCTCACAGAATTTTCTGGATATCATGTCTTCTGTCAACCACTACAGAGACTCAGGGGAACAAAGGACCCAAGCTGTCGCCGAAGGAGTATGTGCCAGTGGAGGAGAATCAATCGTATCAGCACAGTGCAGAGCTGTGGATGAGAATGGGTGGTCGTGTAGCCAAGTGGCTAGTAGCTTGGACTCTAGAGCCAGCCTCCCAGTGGTATGGCCAGACCTGCAGTGTGACATTCCTTGTCCCTGCTCTGGGCACAGAGATGGTTCTCAGCTCACAGACATGTGCTGGGGAATCTTGGAGCTTGGCAGGCGCCTGTGGACAGTGATATCACAGTGCATGTGACACTGGCTAGAACTATTGCTTGAGGTGGAGACTGAGCACAGTAGTCGGAGAGGTCACACTCGGAAGCACTGCTTAAAAGGATGAGCTTAAAATTACTCGGTGGCTGTGATGATGGGAATGGTTATTCCAGGCTGTGGGGACACCATGTACAAAGGTGTGTTCAAAAACTGAGGAAGAGCTTGGCCCAGGGGAAGGGACTGAGGTGAAGGGGACAGGATGTGAAACAGCCAGCAAACTGTGGGCCTGTCCCTCTGAGAACAATGGAGAGAGCCGACTGGAGGGGCAAAGCCAGAGACGGGGGAGTAGTATGAGCCATGTCCTGTGGCTCCTGAGAAGGGCCTGAACTGCAGTAGATATGGCAGTGAAGCCATGAAGACTGAGAGATGCAGGACTAGGAAGCAGAAGAGGCAAGGTATGGGCAAGGGCAAGGAAGATGCTGGGGGGACTCCCTGAGGCCTGACTATGCATCTCAGGGGCTCAGAATGGAGAAGAGGAGCTGTCGTGGAGGGGAGAGAGGTTGAAGTCATTCTGGATTGGGTTGAGAATTGCCCTGGGGGCCCTGGCTAAGATGCCTCAGTACAAGGCTGCAGTAGAGGCTGGGGGCTCTTGGCACTGACATGGCTGTTTCACCCAGGAGAGTCTGCAAAGGGCAGACAATGCATTTAATAGAGTTGGGGGTGGGGGACAAAAAAAATGGCTGCTGCATGGGTGGCAGGAGTAGGAGGGAATGTGGGGAAAAGGCCAATGAAGAGTTTCAGAAAAGCATTTTTCCTGCATACAGGTGGTTTTAGCCCAGTTTCCCACCCACTGGCCAGCTGAATCCCCCTCTTGATCCCCAGGTACTCTAACCTCGATCTGAAGACTCAGGAGGCCTATGAGATGGCTGTGAGAGGCATGATCCGGCCCATGGGCAAGTCCCCAATGCTGATCACTGGCATACGCTGCCTCCACTTTGCACCTCCAGAATTCCTCTTAGGTAGGTCGCTGCAGGAAGTAGAATGGTGAGGTGGAGCTCCTAGGTTTGGGTAGTTGCCAAAGAAAAGGTCACTGGTTTCTGGCTTTGCCATCATAGCACTTGTTGGCCCTCATCTCTGTAAGGAAGGCCCCAGGAATTGACTTCCTTCCTAGTCCTGTGCCAGTGTTTGGCCGATCAGATACACAGAACAAATGCTCTCCTACTTCTTGCCAGGTCACCTTTTGAAGCCAGGGTTTAACAGGCAGAGGTTATATTTAGCAGCTCGTTTCAAGAGCTGCCCGGTGTTTCAAACTATTATAGGCCTATCAGTTCCCTATTATCTTTTGTCTCATTTGTCTGCTTCCCTGAGTCCTTTTCTTTCTGGTTGATAATATTAAGGAGAACTTTTCTTGACCACTGGCCAATGCTCTGCACCTTATGTGAATTATATCTTTGGCTTTTGACTTTTCACAGCTGCCCCACTTTATAGATAAGCAAGTCAAGTCTTAGAACAACTCTTCTCAAGCTTTGACCTACACATGAATCAACTGGGGGTCTGATGATTAGTGATGATTCTTAAAAGGCAGAGGGTCTGGGTGGAGTCTGAGATTCTGCTGGCCTAACATAATTTCAGGTGACAACAGTGAAATCTTAGAAAACCAAGTATCACTCCTTAGGTTATTCCACACCCAGGCAGAATCCAGGGGGTGACAGTCCAGATCATCTAGACACCAGAGACTGTGTGACTGTGCCGGTGATCATTTTGTCTTCATTGTGTGTCCCTGGCAGAAGTTCAGTGCATGCATGAGACGCAGAAGCAATTACGAAGGCTGGTGCATGAGATAGGCCTGGAGCTGAAGAGCACTGCTGTCTGTTCCCAAGTGCGGCGCACTCGAGATGGCTTTTTCACATTGAACGATGCCCTGCTAAGGACCCAGTGGGACCTCCATAGCATCCAGGATGCTATCCAGGCTGCAGCCCCCCGAGTGGCAGCTGAGCTGGAGAAGAGCTTGAGGCCGGTGCCAGGTACCCAGCAGCAGCCAGATTCAGGCCAGTCCAGGGATTCCTCAGGGCTGGGCTCCACCTGGGGGCTGGAGGGCAGCAAGGAGCATTGAAAAACCATGGATCTGGTGAAGGAGTGAACAGCAGAAGGAGACCTATTCATGGGCCAGGTCTGATGCTGTATAGAAATTAAAGGAAGTTTTTCTGCATGTGATGTGAGACACGAACTATGGGACTTTGTGGGAAGCCGAATTTCAAACTAAATATTAAGGATAAACCAAATGCTGTATCAGGATATGAGGGAGGCAAAATACATACAAGCTGGAATTCCCTCTGAGACAAGTTACAGAGGTCAAGGGCAAAGGCCAGACCTAACAATTCTTGGATTGTATTTACTAACCCCTTCCTCCTGAGATAAGCATAAGGTTTACAATAGAGAAAACCTAAAAAAAAAAAAAATTAAAAAAAGAAAAAGAAAACCTCAGCTTCCTTTGCAAAAGATTTTCTCTTTGTGATTTACTTCCCTGTGATTCACAATAAAGCCACAGAAGGGCATAGCTTGAAGGCTTCAGTTTTTCCAGCTGTCCACCAACTGCCTTTACACTTTCTGTCTTTTCCTTCATTCCTATGTGTCCCAGTCTCTCTCTTTTTCCTCAGCAGACAATAGTACTTGACCCATCTGGGGACTTCCTCAGCCTTCTGTCATGAATCATAATTTAATATGTACCTTTATGAATGGTGAGGTGAAAATGGCACTTTACCTCCTCAGTCTTCCTCCCAGTAACCCCTAAGTCCAGTCTGATCACAAGGGAAAGCATCAGACGAAGCCCAGTAATGGACATTTCAATGTTTTCCATAAAACTGTCAAGATCATCAAAGCCAAGGAAAGTCAGAAACTACCAAAGTCAGGGGGGTCCTGAGACATGATGTGTAAATGTAACTTTCTTAGATGGGATACAGGAACAGAAAAAGGACATTGAGTACAACTAAGGAACTCTGGTGCTGTTGTCCATAGAGAGTTCTGCTGTTAACCTAGAGATTGCCTCTCTGGCGGTTCAAATCAACCATGGGCTCTGCCACAGGAAGATGGGCATTCTCCTATGTGATTTATAGCCTTGGAACCTGATGGAGGGTCACTATGAGTTATTTCCAACTGGGCAGCAATGAGTGTGAGTTAGTGTTTTGCAGGATATCAGAATTAAATATGGACAAATGTTAATGTATCGGTTGTTATTGTTGTTAGATCCTGTGGTGTTGATTTGGACTTACTATAACGCTATTACAGAGCAGAACTGCCCCAAAGGGCAGCTTTCCAGGCTGTCACTTTTATGGGAACACTTCGCCAGGCCTGTTCCCCACAGAGCTACAGTTGTTATGTGCCACTGAGTCACCTGTGACCCATAGTGACCCTGTGTACAGCAGCTCTGAACGCTGCCCTGTCCTTAAGTCAGTCTCACCAATTCTGACACACCAACCCCCACTGCCCCAGTCACCGTACCAATCCACAGTGCTACTAGATAGGTTCAAACTATCAACATTTTGGGTTACAGTTGGGTGCTTAACCATTTCACCACCACCAAGGCTCCTCACCGATATTGTTTCAGTAATTGTAGCCAGTATATCAAAGTAAGGTGATGTGGCTAATAGGGTACAATGATTACAGATATGAAAATTCTGTTACTGTCTCTTTTTTTTCTTCTATAAATTGGGAACTGATCTAAGAAAAGGAGCTTGTGTGGCCTGTGCTATTGGGGTGGACTTGAGGGAGAAAGATGGACAGTCTCTTCCTGTTAAGATTTACAGTCTTGGAAACCTGTTGGAGGGTCACCACGAGTCAGAAAGGACTCAATGGTAAGGTGGGTGTGGAGCATCCTGAGAGGTCTTTGGAAATCAAAGTTCTAGCCTTAGCCCTTGGACTCTGGCACAGTAAGTCTAGAATGTGGCCTAGAAATCTTCATTTTGCCAAGTTCCCGGAGGAAATCCAGTGCATCAACTTTGAGAAACAGGGTCTCACAGTGGTCAACTATAAATTTTCTTTTTCAATGGGTTTTTCATTCACTTATTCATACTTCTTCTACCCTCCCTCTTTATCCCACAATTCATATCCTGTTCCAGATTGTTAGTTGCCTTACTCATAATGTTTCATCAATTGTTTTCAAACTGACCTACCGTTCACCTATTCTGATGCACTGGCTAAGAATTTTCAGTCTCTCTTAGGCATCAGGAATACCATTAATAGCTGCTTGAGAGGCTATCTGAGAAGAATGTAGCTAACAGGGATCCAGGGAGAAGTTAGACATCCACCTGGGCTGTCTGCGCTCCCCAGGCCACTGATGTCCTATGGGAGGCAGGTGGCTGACAGACTAAGAAGTGAAGTCCCCAGAGGGTAGCACAGGCCCTGTGTTCTGCCCTCCGACCCCTGCTGCTAAAGGGGAACAAATCTAGATCTTTCTCCACCCCCTGGGTTTGGGAGGAGGGGGCGCATGTACTCTAGGAGCTCTGATGTAATCCAGAGCAGAGTGAGTTGCACTGTTAACACAAAGGCAGTATTCAGATCTCTGGCAATTCAAATTTACCAGAAAAGTGGGCAGCCTCTTCCATTCTGATTTATAGCCTCAGGACCAGAGGAGGGTCACTATGCACTGAATCCACACTCTAGAAGTGAGTTTGCATTTCTATGTTAACTCTTTGGTGAGCATGCTAGCTGTCAGAGCTAGTTCCAGCTCCCTGGGGTGCCAGGCTGTGGTGAGCAGAGGCTGGGGAATCTTGCTGCCCCATTCTAGGGCTTTGCCTAAGTAGCCCTCTTTCTTGTTTCCAAAGAAAAATTATTTAATTGTTCTGTAGAGGAAGTATACTTGAATCTCATTCTAGAACTGACAAAGTTGGGCAGTTGGCTCTTGGGTTATTATAGGACCTCTTGGGAGTGAGTCTGTTGAGAGATGGTACTTCACTGAGAAAATCCCATACCTGGTGCTAAGACAGGAATGCCTCTTTTTCATTTCGGAATATGATACGTATTCCTTGTCCCAGCTAAAATGGTCCAAAAGGTCCAGGTGGCATTGAACACCTGGCTTTGAATCTCAGTCCTGCCTTTTCATTGTATCAGCTTGGACAAGTGACTTGATGGGGATGAGCCTTGATTTCCTCACCTGTCAAATGGGGTGATGACCACGGTATTTGTCTCCTAGAGAAGACAGGAGAAGCTTTTCATGAATGGACTTATGTCCCCTTTCATATATGTAGTGATATAATGTGGAAGCTACATAATGATGTCCCATGATCTGATAAACCAAATAACTGTAAAAGGATTAAAGGTGGAGCTGGCTCGCTGACTCGCTCGGCCTCCGCGGCGCCGTTGGGATCCGGCTCCTCTCCGGCAGCCGGCAGCCGAGCAGTCTGCAGCGGGCCGCTGTGCGCTCGGTTATAAGGCGCGCAGCCGCGGCAAGGGGCGGGGAGAGGCGGGGAGCGGCGGATGCAGAAAGAGTGACATTCTGCGAGGGGAGGAAGCGCATTTGTGCTGCCGGTGGAAGAGGAGGAGGAGGAAAGGAGCTGGGGAAGAGCGTGTCGGGGGAGTTAATCGGGAGAGGAAGTGGCGAAGGGGGAAGGGGGCTGCGGAGAAGTGGGGAAAGACAAAGCGGACGCAGTGTCTCCCTCACTGGCAGCTGCAAACCGTCGGGGACTGCGACGACTAAAGCAACTTTTTTTTTTCGCGGAAAAAAAAAGGATTAAAGGTGAAACCAACACTCCTTGATCCCTCACAGCCCTATGCAGATATGGGGAGTATGCCTAGGGTGTGCCCTCTCATCGCTTTTATCTCACTGGTGGCAAAAGGGGAAGAAAGCTAGAACCTTGGTACTATAATGTTAGGAGTGTCTTTTTGGACTTGGATCCCTTCTAGAGGAAGATCCTTAACACCTGGAAAGGCCAGTACATGTAGAGATCGCCAAAGAGTGAATGCCTGGCCTGCAGATGCTGAAGGAAACCAACTCTGATCCACAACCAACAGGTGCAAAATCTCCCCTAGCGCAGGCACACTGAACCTGGACTGCCATTCTCCTAAACTGTAAGAGAATAAAGGTTTCTCCCTTGCGATGTCTCTGTTATCAGTCAGCCAAGACCACCATGTGAATGGCTTGTGCCAGACCCTGAATTATTAAAGTATCTTACCTCATTTACTCAGTCCTCATTAATCTTCAAATGGGCCTCACATGGCTCTTTTCCCTAGATGAGGAAACAGGCATAAAGAGGTAAAATGATGTGATCAAAGACACCCAGCCAGGGAGTACAGAGCCATCTACTAAATCCACACTCCTAACCACTGGGCCTGTTGGCCTCACTCTTTGACCCCGTGCTGCTTTTCTGGTGCTTGTTATTAACCATAGTATTGACAGTACAATTACTCTTCCTCCAAAAATATCCTGTTCTCTTAATGGATTGGTGTGTCACCTTCCAGAGAGGTCTCTAGGCTTGTAAGAGTTAGATTGTAAATTCTATGGTCGGGGTAGGGGGTTGGGGGAGTGTAGCTTATCTTATTTGTTTTATTGACCATAGAGTCCCCAGCACCCAGTCCCAGGCCTGGCATGTATGTGCTCAGGAAATAAATGTTTAAAGAATGAATGTCTGATTAACAAGGATAAATATTGTATAAAACCATTATTCACTACAACAAGATAAAGGTAAATAATCCAATTGAAAAATGGGCACAGGATATGAATAGACACTTCACCAAAGAAGACATTCAGGTGGCCAACAAGCACATGAAGAAATGTTCAAAATTCCTAGCTCTAAGAGAGATGCAAATCAAAACAACTATGAGATATTATCTCACCCCAGTAAGAATAGCAAAATTTAAGAACAGCAAGCAACAAATGCTGGCAAGGTTATAGAAAAACTGGAACCCTTATTCACTGTTGGTGGGAGAGTAAAATGGTGCAACCACTGTGGAAGGCGGTATGGCGCTTTCTCAGAAAGTTGCAGATACCATTTGACCCAGCAATTCCACTACTGGGAATATACTCCAAAGAGACCATAACTGACATCCAAGCAGATATATGCACACCCATGTTTATCGCGGCTTTGTTCACAATAGCAAGGAGCTGGAAACAACCCAAGT